GTACATCCTCATGTACGGGGGAGGCGACCTCACAGCGTCGCGAATGTTTGGCACGCTCGCGCTCATCAACGGCCTGCGGTTCCCGATCATGGACCTCGGGGCGATCATAGCCACCATGGTCTCGCTGAAGACGTCCTGGCACCGCCTGCAGGGACTTCTGAGTCGACCCATCGCACAGGCCCCCCCTGGTGGCCCCGCGGCCCCACACGCAGGCGCGCTCCTGTCGCTGTGCAGCTGCTCCTTCGGGTACACGGGAGCAGGCCCCCAGCGGGTGCGAGCGGTCCTGCAGGGGGTGGGCTTCTCCGTGCGGCGCGGGGAGCTCGTGGTGGTGGCCGGCAGGGTCGGCAGCGGAAAGTCCACGCTGCTGCAGGGGGTGGTCGGGGAGGCGGTGCTCACGTCGGGCAGGATGCGTGTCGACGGGCCTGTGGCGTACTGTCCCCAGCTGCCATGGGTACTCAACGCCACCGTTCGCGACAACATCCTGTTCGGCGCCGAGTTCGATGCGGAGTGGTACGACCGGGTCGTCGATGCATGCTGCCTCGAGGTGGACCTGCGCCAGATGGAGAACGGCGACCTCACGGAGATCGGCGAGCGCGGCGTGACCCTCAGCGGCGGCCAAAAGCAGCGCGTGGCCATGGCGCGCGCCGCCTACCAGCGGCATTGCGGGCTGGTGCTGCTCGACGACGTCTTCTCGGCCCTGGACGCGCACACCAGCCAGCGTGCGCTCGGGGCGCTGCTCGGCAGGGAGCGCGGGCTTCTGCGGGACCGCGCCGTGGTGCTCGCGGCGCACGGCTGCGCGGCGGAGCGGCACGCGCAGCGCCTGGTGCGCGTCGGGGCAGACGGCGCCGCGGTCGTTGTCGAGGGCGTCGGCGATGCCGAGCCCCCGCCGCCGCTTGCGCCGCCCTCTGCGGCCCACGAGGAGGACGGGGAAGCGGCACAGCACCAGCCCGAAAAGCGGCGCAGCGGCTCCGCGGCGAAGCCGCTCATGCGGTTGGAGGAGCGCGCCACCGGGGGCGTGTCGTGGAAGTGCATCTGGGCGTACGTTCGCGGCTGCGGCGGTCCCGCGTGGGTGGGGGGCTGTGTGCTCAGCGGCCTTCTGGAGCGCGGGTTCATGATCAGCCAGGACTTCTGGCTGGCCGAGTGGACGAGCAACAGCCCAGACGACGACGAGGTGGCATACTACTACCTTGCGTACATCGGGATCGTCACCATCACGGCGTTGTTTACTTCGCTGACCCGAGTTCTGATCGGCCTCTACTCCGTCTGGGCGGCCAAGGCACTCTTTGACGCCATGGCGCTGCGCGTGGTGCGCGCGCCCATGGGTTGGTGGGACACCACGCCGCTTGGGCAGGTGCTGAACCGTTTCAGCTTCGACACCGACAACATCGACAGCACACTGGTCACCAAAATGGTGCCGGCCACGGTGTCGATAAGCTGGATCCTCGGGGGCGTAGTTGTCATCTGCCGGGTGCTCTGGCCCTACTCGCTGGCGGTGGTGCCAGTGCCAGTGGCCATGTACGTGTGGCTTCTCCAGTTCTCGCGCAGGTCCATCCGCGAGCTGCAGCGGCTCGACGCCCTCTCCCGCAGCCCACTGCAGTCAATCTTCGCGGAGACGCTCCAGGGCATCTCCAGCGTCCGAGCCTACCGCTGCCAAGATCGCTACCTGCTGCGCCTGTCGGAGTGCGTGGACGCGAACTCGGCGGCCGTGCTGGCGTTCAACACTGCCTCCAGGTGGCTCGGCGTGAGGCTGGAGATGCTGGCGGCGGCCATCACGGCCTCGGCCGGCGCCGGGTGCTGGCTGCTCCGGGACCGCCTGCCCCCCGGCCTGGTGGCGGTGTGCTTCCTCTGGTGCGGGAGCCTCGCCATGAGCCTCAACTTCAACTGCATGTTCTGGAGCCAGTGCGAGGCCAGGGCGGGACCTGAACGGTGTCCTGAACGGTGTCTTTGGCGACTCCGTGGGCCGTTCTCGCTTCGCCTTCTGCTTGAGGTATAAAGGGGGATCCGAGACAACAAAGCGAGGGAACACGACCACGAAACGACTTGCACGTTCGGAAATCACGCAAGTCGAAAGGCACTTGCACGCTAGTATTCGCTTGAGGAGGGGCGAGAGAGGGGGGGGGGGGGGGGCCAACGCCATGCAAGCAAACTTGCCCGAATCCACAAAAAAAAACACAGGCTCAACACGACAACGAGAGGCACCGTTCAGGTTCGGCCCCGCAGCGAGGCCGCCTTCACCTCCGTGGAGCGGGTCGCGCAGTACATCTCCGGCCCGCCGCTGGAGGGCGCCCACGCCGACCTCGACGCCTGGGCCGCGAGCGCCGCGGCCCCCGCGCGCGCGGCGGCGGGCGCGAGCCTCGCCGCCGGGGCGGGTGCCGCCGGCGGGCCCTGCCTGAGCCTCCGGGGCGTGTCGCTGCGGTACCGCGAGGGGCTCCCGCTGGTGCTGCGCGGCGTCTCGCTGCAGGTCTCGGGAGGGGAAAAAGCACACACACAGACACAAGGAATCGTCGATCCCCCAGAAAGTAATCATGGGGAAAACAGGGGGAGTGGGGGGGAAGACAAAAACCCGGAAAGCATGGGGAAGTGGGTTATTTGTGTGTGTATTCACTTGTGTGTCCCAGGGCCCCTTCAAGGTCGGCCGCGGGGAGCGGGTGGCCGTGGTGGGGCGCACGGGCGCGGGGAAGTCCTCGCTGGCGGTGGCGCTCTTCCGCCTGGCGCCGCTGGCGGGCGGCCAGGTGCTGCTGGAGGGCGTCGACCTGGGCGCCCTGCCGCTGGACGTCGCGCGCAGGTCCGTCGGCATCATCACGCAGGACTCGGGGGAGGCGCAGGGGCTCAGGCATCAGCTTTCGGAGCTCCGCGCGGATCTCTTGGATCGGCGCCGGGCCCCCCCTGGGCGCTCCAGGAGATCCGCGCGGAACTCCGAGGGTGTCTGCTTGTTGTGCAGATGTCTCTTCGTCTTCGTCTGAGGACCCCGTGGTCTTCAGCGGCACTGTGCGGTACAACCTGGACCCCTTCCAGGACATCAGCATCGTCTATCCAATCCTCAATCCCACTGGACCATGGTATCTCGGCTCCACCGGCGCCCCCCCCCGCGGGGGGGGGGCCCGCGAGACCCAGAGGGCACGGCCTGTGTCACCACCTGTGGGGGTAAGTTGGTCAGTGGGGCCCAGGCCGTGCTGGTGGGGATTGGACCCGTTTTTTTCAGTGCTGAGTCCCTGGAAGTCCCGACCCGTTCCCCAGGGCCCCTTCTCATCCCGAGTAGTTCTCCTTGACGGTCCCGAGCCATGGCAAGGGCCCGCCAGGGTGTCGGAAATTGCCCCAACAAAAATCCGTCGTGCTTTTTCCGCGAAGCGCGAGCATGTCTGGGGGGTGGAGCGATGCTGACAGGAGTACGGGGACGACGAGTGCCTGTCGGCGCTGCAGCAGGCACAGCTGGGGCAGACCCTGTCGCTCGACTCCCCCGTGGACGAGGGAGGGGGCAACCGCTCCGTGGGCGAGCGCCAGCTGCTGTGCCTCGCCCGCGCGCTGCTCCGTCGCCCGCGGCTGCTCTTCTGCGACGAGGCTCGGGGGCGCCCCTGCACGGCGCGGTGACCACGCCGAGCGTCGGCCACGCGCAGATGGGGGAGGGCGGCAGGCTTCTTGGAAGCACCCCCCTGCGTCTCAGAAGGCGCGGGCCTCGTCTGCAGGTGCAGAGCCCGCGCCTTCTCTGAGTAGCAGCCTCCTTCGAAGAAGCCTTCCCCCCCCCCTCCTCCTCCTCCTCCTCCTCCTCCTCCTCCTCCTCCTCCTGCTCCTCCTCTCCTCCTCCTCCTCCTCCTCCTCGTCCTCCTCCTCCTCCTCCTCCTCCTCCTCCTCCTCCACCTCCTCCCCCACCTCCTCCTCCCCCTCCTCCTCCCCCTGCCCCCCTTGGTGCCCGCCGCCAAGAGTGGTGAGCACGCGGGGGCTTGCGGGGCCGCCGGGCGGTTTTGGGGGGGCCCGTGCCGCTCTCCGAGGCCGACTCGGGCGCGCCTGCGGCCTCCGAGGCCCCCCCAAGCGGATGCGGCGGCGGGCCGTGCGGCGAGGCCTGTGGGGGCGTCGGGGTCACCGCACGGTCCGTCGCCGCACCAGCGTGGGCCTCCCGGGGGAGCATTCAAAACTAGTCAAACAATGATGTTAGGGACCATTTTGGGAGTACACTTTTTGACCATTTTGGGGTACGTTTTGAATGTTTGTTTATTTTTCCTCGAAAATCCCCCTGTAGGGGGACACGCCCGACTTGACCCAAGAGGCCACCGCCTCCGTGGACGCCGAGACGGACGCCTGCGTGCAGCGCTGCCTGCGCGCGGTGTCCGCGCGGCGGCCCTGCGCGCTGCTGACCGTGGCCCACCGCCTGGCGACGGTGGCCGACTACAACCAGGCGCCCGGTGCTGCCAGGAGTGGTCCTGGCCCAAGCTGCTCCCAGCTTCTCGCGTCACCGTGGACGCCCCAGGGGCCCCCTGGGCCTCGTGGCGGGCATCCTGAAGGCCGTGCATCAGGGCGTGAGTTACCTACCCCGCTTTCGCTTCCAGACAAAACCAAGTCATACCACGCGCCTCCTGGTCAAGCGACCTGACTGGTGCGGGCCGTAGCCTGGTATCGTTTGGCATCTTTTGGAAGCGAGGGTGGTCAAAAGCGAGGTAGGTTCGTTTGCCTCTTAGTGTAGGCCTCCGTGGGCCGGAGGCCGTGCAGGCCTCCGTGGCGGCACCTTATTTTGGGCCAGGGGCACCTCTGGCAGCACCCGGAGGTGGTGGTGCTCAGCGCGGGCCAGATCGTGGAGGCGGGCCCTCCCGCCGAGCTGCTACAGAGGCCGCGGGGAGGGGAGGCGGGCTGGTCGCTGACGCGGGAGAGCGACCCTTCGCAGGTGGGACCGTTGGTGTGGGCCCCACGCGGTGTTCCCCCGTGCCAGGGCACGCGCGCTTGTGTTCGGCCCCCCGCGGGCCCCTAAGGCCGCGCGAAAAAAGGTTATCCGTGCCCAGGGTCGCTTCTGCGTGTGGCCGAGCTGGGAGGACGGCGGCGGCAGCGACGATGACGGCGGCGGTGACGGCAGTGGTGGCGGCGGCGGCAACGACGACGACGACGCCGACGCCGACGCCGACGCCGACGCCGACGCCGACGCCGACGCCGACGCCGACGCCGGCGCCGACGCCGACGCCGACGCCGGCGCCGACGGCGACGACGACGGCGACGACAACGACGACGACAATGCCTGACCACGAGGTTTTTGGACGTTCTCTTAGTTCGTCGCCCCGTCTGGGCCTCTAGGGGGCGCCACGGCCGGCTGCCCGTCGGAGTTCTAGCCAGGGTGCATCCTCCCTGAGGGGTCAAGAGGCCTGACTTCTGACTGGGTGTGATACTCGGAGCGAGGGCCCAAGGCCCGCGCGTCGATGACAATCGGGTGAGCTGATGAGCTGGCGAACCATCCGTCGGGCACCAAAGGGGGAGGGGGGAAGGCTTCTTAGAGAAGCACCCCTGCTTCCTTAGAAGGCGCGGGCCGCATCTGTAGATGCGGGGCTGGCGTCTTCTAATAGGCAGCCTCCTTCTAAGAAGCCTTCCCCCTCCCTCTACGGTCGGCCCGAAGTATACGATCGAGGTCGGTCCGGGGAGGGTACCCTGACCTTCTTCGTGCTTGTTGGATGTTCTTGTGCATCCTGGGGGAGGGTGCCTCGAGTGTTCTTCATTCTGGCGGGCGGAGGATCTTGTGTTCTTTGAAGGATGTTATCATGGTTAGGTCCGGCCGTAAGCCAGATCCAGGGGGTCCACGTTGCGAACTGTCCACGGCGCTGGAGGTCTGGGGACGAGGGGGAGGAGCGGGAAGTTCGGGTGCCGCCCCAGATCCTGACCCCCAGAGGCGTTTGGGCGTCGCGTAATGAGGGGGCGGTCAACGGGGGGGGGGGAGGCAAGGACTGCAGAGGGGGGGGGCCCTGAGGGCCCCTAAAGGGGCCTTGTAGGGCCCAAAAGGGGGCCTTGGGGGCCCGAGAAGCGCACCTTTCTCCTCCCCCCTCGTGGAGTAGATCTTGGCTGTTTCTGGCGCCTGTTTCGAGCAGGTGGAGTCTCCCCTCCTAGGACCCAGTGCTGCAAACAGTCGCACCAAGCAGAGGTCCGGAGCCAGACCCCCCCCCCCTTCCGCCCAGTCTCGAAACGCCGAATCAAAAAAAACACTCACGAGATGACAGCACTTTTGAGATCGGGGCTTCCAGAACCGGCCAGCTGCCCAGTCCCCCGACGTCATGAGCTTTCACGGCGTGGACCACCAGCGGTCCGGACCCCTTCGCCAGGCACGGCTTTCTCGCCCCGCGCGGTTTTCTTGACGGTCCCCCGAGGGCCGGCGCACAGGGCCCCATGGAGGCCGAAACGATAGCGACGGAGCGCCCCGCCGTGCTCCCTGCGCAGCCCGAGGGGCCTCGGTGTGGCGAGCCTTCGGCCAGGCCCGGCGGCGCCTTCGCGCAGCTCGCCTCCACGGCCGGCGGCTTCGGCGCCAGCGGCCCGCTGGCCGCCGCCGCCTCGAGCGGCCCCGCGGGCGCCGTGGGCGAGCCGCTCGCGGCGACGGCGCGCCGCGCCGCCGCGGCGGCGGAGCCCGCGCCGCCGCGGTGCGCGGCGGGCTGCGCGCTCCTGCCGGGGCCGTGCGCGGGGTGGCCCAGGCTGGCGGCGGGCCGGCCGGGGCTCCGAGAGCCTGGAGGCTGGAGGTTTTCGGAGCCCCTCGAGGCATGAGGATTACGTCGGGCCTGTCCCTCGACAGGGGGAATAGTGAAGAATAGTCCAACAAAAATAGTCCGGGGACGATCTTACTCGTATTGTTTTACTATTGGAGGTTTTCGCAGCCCCTCGAGGCATGAGGATTACCTCGGGCCTGTCCCTCTACAGGGGGGATATCCAAGAATAGTCCAAACATAGTCCGGGGACGATCTTATTAGTATTTTTTTTACTATTTGAGGTTTTCGGAGCCCCTCGAGGCATGAGGATTACGTCGGGCCTGTCCCTCTACAGGGGGAAGATTCAAGAATAGGCCAAAAATAGTCCGGGGACGATTTTACTAGTATTTTTTACTATTTGGTGGTATTTCTGGGGTATTTGAATTTTTTCGCCCAAAATCCGCCTTTAGGGTGACAGGCCCGACCTAACATGAGGAAAGCACGGCGGGAGGTTTTGCGCCGTCTTCGGCCTCTGGGGGCCCTCACCGGCCCTGGGGACCGTCCAGAAACAGTACGAAACCCCGGTCCCGGTCCCTGGGAGTGGGTCGCGGCTTCTGGGGGTCGACGCTATGAAAAAATCGTGACGTCGGGGGCCCAGGATTTTCGGACGCTTTCGTCGGCTCGGGGTGCGTTCCCAGCCTCGGGGTGCGCTCCGGCAGCTGCTCCTCGCCGAGAACGTGCGGGGGTTGCCCGGCTCGTCCCGAACGGCCGCCAGAGGCCCGAGTCATGGCCCGAACACGGGCCTCCCGGACCTCGTGGGCGAAGGATGGGCATCCGCGGCCTCGCGTGTCAGGCCCCCGGGCCCCGACCCCGCGGATGCGGGGCGTTTTTCCTCGCGGAAGCCCCGCGCGGCATGTACCCGTGCGACCGCGTACCCGCGGGATCGCGCCCCGGGATCCAGATCGCGAGTGCGCGGGTACGGATACGTTCGCCGCTCGTGAAGAACCAGACCTGCTGGCGTCGAGAAAAATCGCGTGAGTTTTTCCCAACCCTCCTGTGTGTGGGGTCATCGTTTTGAATCCACAACGCTCCTGTGTGCGGGGTCCTCCTCCTCCCCCTCCTCCTCCTCCTCCTCCTTCTCCTCCTCCTCCTCCTCCTCCTCCTCCTCCTCCTCCTCTTCCTCATCACTCGAGCCGTTTACTTCGCTGTGATCTGGGCTCGCAGGTCCGGAGCGCATGCATTTGATATAGTACGAAAAAGGTCCGCTTTACCGCCGTCACGTTTTCTTATTGCCACCCTCCCGCAATTCTACCTGGTATCGGAGCTGGAAACGATCCCAGCTCGCGATCCACGGAAGTCTCTCAGAGTGCGATGTGGACGCGCGTTCGCACTTCCCTCACCCGCCGCATTGGTACCCCCCTCCAGTCCCTAAACAGCTTGTGCCTACGGTTGTTTTGCACACCTTTCGGTACTTCTCCCAACTCACCCATAGGCGCGACGAAGCCAACAACACGATCGCAAGTGGCCGTGTGTCTAGTGTACCGTCGCTTGATAACGGATGGCCTGGTGCGGGGGTACGCAGACCCAAGGAGGCAGCCGTGCGATAGTCCCTTCACCTGAACAAATTCCCAGCATTGGCAGTGGGGTTTCACCGCTATACCGCACAACAGGCCCAGGGTTTGGTTGGTTTACATAGTCAGCGAGCTGCACCCTCCGAGTGGCTTCGAGCTGGTTAATGTAACACTTTCACATTTTCTGCGCGTCGCCAAGAGTTCCAGTACCGCTACGACTGCTCCAAATTGCGAAATCGTTTCCGTCTTTGTGCAGGGCCAAGTCCCAAGGCGCCGTCGCGGCAACCGTATGAAAAACAATTATTTTGTCCAGAGGATATCCAATACGGCAGTATTGAGCAGTATCCTCATCCCATCCGTGGTCGCCTTGCTCTGGCTTGACTGTATGATTCCTGGGGGCGGTGGCAACGGCGTCACCACAGCTGGCCAACCACTTTGCTGGTCACCCGAAACGGATACAGCTTACCCCTTTCCGCCCCGGGGTGCAGGACTTAATCGCCTGGAGCGTAGTCGCCGCCGACATGGACAGCGCCCACCAGTGTGTTGCCACCATCCTTAACCTCGGCGGCGCCGCTCGCGAGCCTACATGCTCCATGGCCTTTTACGCATATGACAGAAGGTGGATTGGTCAACGGACAGCTGGAATGCGTCGTTACGTTCCTCATCGCGAACCTAGCGACCCAGTTTGAACGTTTTGGTAAAGAGTCGCGCCCAGCTACCAGGGAACACTTCGAGTTCTCGAGGCGACGCAGCGAGACCACAGGTGTACTTCTCAGGCGGCTTTTCACATTGCGATCCCGAGCAAAGCGCAACGGTGGAGCTGCAATGTCACGGGGGAGCTATAGCTGGCTGCTCCGCCGAGCGGTCGGCGCTACGGCAAGTCAACTTATGACTGCCCCAGCCCTGCGGCACCCAATATCCAGTAACAGAGACTGACTTCAACAGTGTACCGACACTGTTCAGGCGCGTTGGTGACATAGTGGAGCATGCACCCAAGGACGTCGCCAGCTCTCTCCGTGCACCGTCATTCTCCGGAGGCTGCCTAGGCATGGCCGACGACAACAGGCACGACGCAAGTGCAGCAGACCTTTGGCATCAACACGGGCTTGGCCCTTGGACTGCTAGCGCTGCTGGATTCCCTGGGGTCGGAGGTGACTACTCGTGCGCCGGCAGCGCGCAGCAGAGCGCTGCGCCGCCGCAGGCTGCGCGCCCTGCCGCCGTGTGGCCGCGCGCCGATGGAGCACCGGCCTGCCTCGAGCACGCCGGCGGCGCCAGTTCAGACGCCAGTTCAGACTTCGGAAGAGCTAGTGATTACATGTCGGGCGGGTCCAGCGGCCAATGCCCATCGCAGGTTGGCGACCGATTTTTTTTGGCAGATGAAACATCAAAAACGTCAGTGGTAGCGTGATCTGAGCAAGCCCGCCAGAAAAGTCCGACAGCTTATCAGGTTGAATGGGCGGCCGATCTGACCGACGACCAAGTCGAACGCGTCTTTTTCGGCGGCGAAGGCGAGAGCTAGGGCAAGGGTAAACGCTCCGGCGGCAAATGCGAGGGCCGCGAGATGAATCCTGGGGGGTGCGACGGGACAGCGATGACACGCAGCGTCGGCGAATCGGAGTGCCACTTCGAGTTGAATGCCCGCGGGCCCTCTCTGGGGGCTCAGGTGCAGAGGGGGGTGGGCCATATTTCGGTGGCTACGCCGATTCTGGCACCATTCTCGGCGCCCTGGATGCCAGGCCTCTCTTCAGCATGCATGGCGCTGCCTTCATTGTCGCCGAATCTCCTCCACGACCGCAGTCGAGGCGCGGCATCTCGCCGGCGCAGCCCGCCACCGAGGGGTCCTGGCAGATGCCCGCGCCCCTGAACGGCTCCTGGTCGGCTGCGTCATCGACCGAGGTCCAGGGCCACGTGCGCCGACGCGCCCGCTGTGAAACCTGCTTCTCATACATTCAATGTCGCAGCGCCTACCTCGGGGACCCGGCTGCCGGCGCTGCCGCCGCTCCCGGGCGCCGCCCCCGCAGCCTCGAAACTGGCGGCGTCGCTGGCGGGCCCGTCGCGCCCGGGGGGCCTGCGCGGTTTCAAGGGCGCCGGCTCAGCGTGGCCGCCGCGAGCCTGCCGTCGCAGATCAGCGGTGCAGCGCCGGGCCCCCGCTCGCCCGACAGGGCGGCCCGCGGCCTCCGACGGCCATCGAGCCGCCGCGCCGCATCTCGGCGGATTCAGCCCGACCTCAGCAATCAGAGCCAGCGCCGCGCGCGACTTGGCCCCTGAGATCACGGCGCGATTCGCCGCCTCAGCGAAACGCTGGACAGAGCGCGACGCCCCAATGGAACAACGCCGCGCCCATCGCCGTGAGCGGGCCCAGCATGTGATCGACCTTATCGCGTCTCGACCGCCGACGGCGGCGCCGCCGCCTCTGCCCGAATATTGACGAGCCACGTTGGAAGCGCATGGAGGGACCATATGTGGTATCTGTCTAGATGATCATATCAGAATGGATTTACTTGTTATTCTGCAGCGTGGACATCAGTTTCATCGGGGCATCGCTGACGCCCGGGCCGCCGCGAGCCTCGACGAGCATCGGCAAAGGGCTGCTGGGGGCCACTTGCGAGGCGATCGAATGTCAGCACCGTTCTCGCTGTGCTAAGCGTGCAGGCAGCAGCCAATGGCGCGAGCAGCCACGCGCGCCCGCGCAGTTTCTACGCCTCGCCCAGCGGCCCGCGCGGACGGAGCCGCAGCGCGACGCCGCGAGGGGCGCGAATACAAGAACTTACAATCAGAGCACTGGCGCCCGCGCGGGGGCAGCAGTCGCCGCGAGGGTCGCCGCCAAGTGGCGGGGCCGATCTGCAAACGGGCCCAGGGGGTCCACCGGCGACCCCGCCGGCGAGTGCGCCGCTCGGGTACGCCGCACAAGTGCTCGGCTGACCGCAGGTGAGTTCTGGGTGATCTTAGACTCATGTGCTTGGACTAATCTAGCGGGAGAGTCGCTCGCGCGTCGGCTGCTTCGATTCGCCGTCGACGCAGGTCGCCGGCCACGGCGTGTCCTCATGAGCGAGCCCTCGAGCATCGGGGCGCGCGGGCGCCCCCGCGGCGGCCGCAGATGATCGCGGCCGCGGCGCGCTCCGCAGTTTCCTGAGCTCGTCGCGAGGGCTTCGGGCCGCGAGCGATTTGGATTACTAGGTCTACGGAGTGCGGGGCCTGCGCGCGCAGTATCGGTCTATGCCCTCAAGGGGTTGCGAAGTGCGCGGGTGCGGAGACCGAGGAGAACGCGGCGCCAGCAGCTGCTGCCTCCGCTGCGGAGGCAGAGGAGCGGCCCATCCTCGGCTCTCAATGAGACGACGGCCCCTTGCGGCCGCCCTGGCTATCCTTGCTGGGGGCTAATCGTGCGCGAAACCGG